TCTTCTTTCCTTCGAGCCAGCAGCAGCAGCAGCAGCAGCAGCAGCAGTAGCAGCAGCAGCAGCAGCAGCAGTAGTAGTAGTAGCAGCAGCAGCAGCAGTAGCCGCAGCAGCAGCAGCAGCAGCGGCAGAGGCCCAGGGAAGCAGGTGCATGCACGCTCGCCTCTGTCAGCAGCAACACGAGCAGCATCAGCTGCAGCAGCAGCAGCAGCAGCAGCAGCAGCAGCAGCAGCAGCAGCAGCAGCAGCAGCAGCTCTTTGAAGGCCGCTCGAACTGAGCAGCAAGCAGTAGACTTCAGCAGTTTGGCTAGCTTGGCTTTTTAGAATTTGTTGCTTCTCCAGTGTCTGGACAAAAGAGATATTTAAAAAAATATTTAAATTCTTTTTTATTTTTAAAATCTTTTTTTCTTTTCCATTTCCAAATTCTATTTATGTTTGCCAGCTAGCCAGCTGCTGCTGCTTTGTAGCTAGCTACAGCTAGCCACAGCTAGCTGCATCTGGCTACAGCTAGCCACAGCTAGCTACAGCTAGCCACAGCTAGCTACAGCTAGCCACAGCGAGCTACAGCTAGCCACAGCTAGCTACAGCTAGCCACGGCTAGCAGAGACTAGCCACAGCTAGCCACAGCTAGCTACGGCTAGCCACAGCTAGCTACAGCTAGCTACAGCTAGCTACGGCTAGCCACAGCTGCCCACAGCTAGCTACGGCTAGCCACAGCTAGCTACGGCTTGCCACAGCTAGCTACAGCTAGCCACAGCTAGCTACAGGTAGCTACAGCTAGCCACGGCCATTCACAGCTAGCCACAGCTAGCTGCGGCTAGCTAGCTAGCTAGCTAGCTGCAGCTAGCGACGACTGGCTGCAGCTAGCCATCAGGGGCCCGAGCTAGCCACGGCTAGCGGGGACTAGCCACAGCTAGCTACACATAGCCACAGCTAGCTACACATAGCCACAGCTAGCTGCACATAGCCACAGCTAGCTACAGCTAGCCACAGCTAGCTACAGATAGCCACAGCTAGCTACAGCTAGCCACAGCTAGCTACAGCTAGCCACAGCTAGCTACAGATAGCCACAGCTAGCCACAGCTAGCTACAGCTAGCTACAGAGAGCCACAGCTAGCCAGTATCCAGCTAGCTAGCCACGGCTGGCTAGCCACAGCTAGCTAGCTAGCTAGAGCCAGGCGCATGCGCTCTCGGAGGAATAGTAAACCCTGAACCCTTTCAAGGAGCGCTCTTGTTCTTTGCCCCAAACCCTAAACCCTAAACCCTAAACCCTAGGTCTTCTGAGTCTTGTGCTTCCCCCGTGTTTTCCCCACAAGCAGCTGGGATCCTGCTGCTTCGCCGGCTGCTGCTGCGGCAGTTGCTGCTGCTGCTCCCGCTGCTGCTGCTCCCGCTGCTGCTGCTGCTGCTGCAGCAGCTGGAGCTGCAGCAGCAACTGCAGCAGCATGCATGCTGGCTGAAACCCTAAACCCTAGTCGTAGGCCTCGCCACGACTCCTACTTAAACCCTAAAAGTTTGCCAGGAGTTAACGCTTCAATCAGCTAGGGTTTAGGGTTTAGGGTTTAGGGTTTAGGGTTTAGGGTTTGCGCTGTGGGACGCATGCATCGCCGGGGCCAACAGGCGATTCAAGCGCAGAGGCTAAACCCTAAACCCTCACTTTCTTTTAATCTCTTTTTCCCCTCTTTAACTTTGTTGCTGACACAAAAAGCCTCTATTATGGTCTAGGGTTTAGGGTTTAGGGTCTAGGGTTTAGGGTTTAGGGTTTAGGAGCGTGTGTTGCCGCACAGGTGACCAGTGGTTGAGCGAAGGCTGTGCGGAGCCAGTCTCCACAAACCCTAAACCCTAAACCCTAAACCCTAAACCCTAAACCCTCGAAATTGAGTTTATTAAATTTGCTGGTTTTATTAATTCTGTTTCTTTGCCGCTGCACCAGGCGGCTAAGGGCTTGTGCCTGAGGCTCAGTCGAAACCCTAAACCCTAAACCCTAAACCCTAAACCCTAAACCCTAAACCCCGAACCGAGCTTCTACACACTGGGGTCTGGAGCTGCGCCTTCTCCAACCTTCAGGTTCAAGGGTCCAGGACCTCAGCTTTTAGGCCCTAGGCTGCAGTTTTATGATTAGGGTTTAGGGTTTAGGGTTTAGGGTTTAGGGTTTGGGATATGAGGCTGGTGGCGCCTCACCACGAGGCCCTCCTAACTGGCCGCGGGGCCCTTCCCCCTTCTTGCTGCCGTCCGGTGAAATCTGGTTTGCTGCTGGAGTGCACAGCAGCAGCAGCAGCAGCAGCAGCAGCAGCAGGAACAGCAGCAGCAGCAGCAGCAGCAGCAGCAGCAGCAGAATGCAGGCGTTTTCGCTGCACTCTCTTTTCGAGTGTTTTGTTTCTTCAAAAGGAAGAAAATGAAAAAGAGGAAACCCTCGCGGTTTGGCTGGAGGGCTGCGACGTGCGCGCTCTTGACGGTAAACCCTAAACCCTAAACCCTAAACCCTAAACCCTAAACCCTAAACCCTAAACCCTAAACCCTAAACCTAACCCTAAAGCCCTACGCCGTACATGCCGCAGGGGTTTGCACCTTACCAGCTAGCTCACTAACAAGCCACACGCATAGCTTGCTAAACCCTAAACCCTAAACCCTAAACCCTTGTGTTTTGCTGCGGGAGTTGGTAACTGCGGAAGCAGTAGGTTGCTGCTGCAGGGTTTGGGGTTAGGGTTTAGGGTTTAGGGTTTAGAGCTCAAGGTTTTAGCTACAAGAGTCGTGTGCTGCTGCTCCAAGGGCAGTTCGACTTGCTTTTGCTGCTGCTGCTGCTGCTGCTGCTGCTGCTTCTGTTCGTTTGCTGCTGCTGCTGCTGCTACTACTGCTGCTGCTTCTGTTCATTTGCTGCTGCTGCTGCTTATGTCCATTTGCTGCTGCTGCTGCTTCTGTTCATTTGCTGCTGCTGCTGCTCAGAAAGCGAGGGTTTGAAGGGTCTGGAGGCCCTCAAGGGTTTAGGGTTTGGGCTGCTGCTGCAGTGGAGCAGCAAGCAGCTGCTGCTGTTTTTTGCTGCTGCTGAAAAAGACAGAGACGAATGGGCAGAAGCGCTTTACAAGTGAGAGCAGCAGCAGCAGCAGCAGCAGCAGCAGCAGCAGCAGCAGCAGCAGCAGCAGCAGCAGGAAGGGGACAGCAGCAGAAAAATAGACAAAAGAGACAAAAGAGACACAAATAAATAAATAAATATTAACTTAAAAGACAAATAAACGAGCAAAGAGACAAAAAGAGATTTTAAAAATAAAATTAAAAATAAAAACAAAAAGACAAAAAGAGACAAAAGAAGACAAAGGGGAGACTTGAAGGAGACAAAAGAAGCAAAAAGAGAAAAAAGAAATTCAAAAAAAGAAATTAATTTATTTATTAACAGTGGCAGCAGCAGCAGCAGCAGCAGCAGCAGCAGCAGCAGCAGCAGAAAAGGGACGAACGCTCCAGTGTTTAGACTGTCTTTGTCCTTCAGGGCTGCATGCAAGGAGACACATTGCTGCTTCAATGCATCTCAGCAGCAGCAGCAGCAGCAGCAGCAGCAGCAGCAGCTGCAGCAGCAGCAGCAGCTGCTGCTGCTGAAGGAGAAGGTGAAGAAGAGAGAGGCGCGCGTTTGCTGCCGCTGTGGGGGCGGCCCACGGAGCCCGTGAGGCTAGCCTAAACCCTAAACCCTAAACCCTAAACCCTAAACCCTAAACCCTAAATCTGAACCCTGTGGGGTTTCGAAATGTTCCTTTTCTGTTTCAGAGAAGCTGCTGCTGAGGTGTACAGACACCGCAGAGAGAGAAAAATCCAAAGGCTGAAGGCGGCGGTTCGAGAGGAAACTCAAAAGGTGCCCAAACCCTAAACCCTAAACCCTAAACCCTAAACCCTAAACCCTAAACCCTTGGGTTTCTGCTATGGCAGCTGGAAAGCCCGCGAGCCTAGTTCTTCAGTCTCCATCGAGTCCTCTCTGCAGCAACGGGCCAGCCCTGCTCCCCAAACCCCAAACCCTAAACGCCAAACCCTAAACCCTAAACCCTAAACCCTAAACCCTAAACCCTAATTGTGCGCCGCAGACCCAGCGGCTCTGCAAAGTGCTCTTCAACTTGTCCCCTCTATTCCCTCCCCCTGTGGCTGAAGAACTTCGGCGGCTTTCTTTGGAGGTCATGGGGGCCCCTGTCTGTTCTTTGGGGGCCCCCCGGGGCCCCTGTAGCAGCAGCAGCAGCAGCAGCAGCAGCGGGAGCAGCAGCAGCAGCAGCAGCAGCAGCAGCAGCAGCAGCAAACGGGCCCCAGAAGACTCCTGCAGCTCCCTAGCAAGCCCCAGGGAGCTGCTGCAGGGGGGCCCCCTGGGGCCCCTTTCTAGAGATGCTGTTTGCCCCTGGGGGGGCCCCCAAAAAGGGTTCACTTATGCGCAGCAAGTAGGGGCCTCGCCCCCCTCTGAGGGGGGCCCCGGGGGGCCCCCCGTGGGGGCCCCCCGGGGGGCCCCCGCGGGGGCCCCTCTGAAGGCAGAAGGGGGCCCCAAAGGGTACTCGTTGAACGGGGAGGGGGCCCCCTTGGGGGCCCCCAAGGGGGCCCCCAAGGGGGCCCCCGAGGGGGCCCCCCAGGCTGCCGCGAAGGGGCCCCCTTGGGGGCCCCGCAGAAAGAAGAGAAGGCCAGTGGATTTGTATAGCACAAAGAGACAGTCTCCTGTGGCTAGGGGCCCCCCGGGTTTGTGGAGTCGCAGCAGCAGCAGCAGCAGCAGGAACCGGAGCAGCAGACGCAGCAGCAGCAGCAGCAGCAGGAACCGGAGCAGCAGGCGCAGCAGCAGCAGCAGGAGCAGCCGCAGCAGCCGCAGCAGAGCGCACCAGCGAAGACGGGCCAGCAGCAGCAGAAGCAGCAGCAGAAAGAGCCTCAAAAGCAGCAGCAAGAAGAGCAGCAGCAGCAGCAGCAGCAGCAGCAGCAGCAGCAGCAGCAGCGCGAGCCCCAGCAGCAGCAGCGTGAGCCCCAGCAGCAGCAAGCTCCGCCGGGCCAGCAGCGGCGTCTGGAGCAACGCCAGCAGCAGCAGCAGCAACCGCAGCAGCAGCAGCAGCAGCAGCAGCAGCAGCAGCAGCGAGAATGAGGGCCTCATGGCCCTCCACAGAGACGCTTTTGCTGCTCGAAGGAGACTCATGATGCAGCAGTACATAACCCTTGGCAGCAAATTCACGAGGCCCCCAAAACAGGGGCACAGGGGGGCCCCCCACCCGGGGGGGGCCCCCACCAGTACCCTGTTTCTGGGGCCCCGAGGGGGGCCCCCAGCCAAGGGGCCCCCCACCCAGGGCCTTCCCCACAAGCAGTCTGCTCAGGGGCCCCCACCCGGGGGGCCCCCAAAGGGGGCCCCCCCCAAAGAGCTGCTTGCAGAGGGTCAGGGGGGCCCCTCATTTCCGCAGTCTCAGGGGGGCCCCCCCGCTAAAGTGTCTCATAAGGGGGGCCCCCCTAGTGTGTCTCTTGAGGGGCCCCCACCCTTGGGGCCCCGCTCGGGGGGGCCCCCTCAGGGGCCCCCAGCAGCTGCTGCGCAGGGGGCCCCCAAGGAGGCCCCCAAGGGGCCCCCAAGCAAAACCCTTGCCGCGGCAGCCTCAAAGGAAACAGTCCAGGGGGCCCCCCAAAAGGCTCCTCCCCAGGGGGGCCCCCCTGGGGCCCCCCTGGGGGCCCCCAAACCCAAAGGGCCCCCAGGGGGGCCCTCTGCCAAACTCGCTTCAACAGAATTAGGAGGGGGCCCCCCTGACACAGCCAAGACTGGACCCACCAAACAAACTTCGGGGGCCCCCAAGGGGGCCCCTAAAGGTGAACCCCCAGGGGCCCCCAAAGGGGCAGGGGCCCCCAAAGTTAACCCCCCAGGGGCCCCCAAAGGGGCCCCCACAGGCGACCCTCCAGAGGCTCCCAAGGGGGCCCCCAAAGGGAGCCTTCCAGGGGCCCCCAAGGGGGCCCCCAAAGTGGCCCCCAAAGGGGATTCTACAGGGGCCCCTAAAGGTGACCCCCCTGGGGCCCCCAAGGGGCCCCCAGTTGGGTCTTCTTCAGCTTCAGGGGGCCCCCCTAAAGGGCATTTGCTGCCTCCCAGTGTGCCGGGGGGCCCACCCACAGAAGAAACCCCAAGGAAAGGGGGCCCCCCAGGGGGCCCCCCAAGGGGCCCCCCAGGGGGCCCCCCAGGGGCCCCTTTAAGGCAGGAGGTCCCAGCAAGGCCTGCTGCTGCAGTGCTGCTGGAGCCAGAGTGTGGGGCCCCACAGGCAGCTGCGCCTAAAGGGGCCCCCGTGGCTGTGGGGGGCCCCCGCGAGGAGGTACTTGCTGCAGCAGCTGCTGCAGCAGCTGCTGCAGATACCAAACAACTAGGGGGCCCTCAGGGGGCCCCCAAGTTGTCTCCGCCGCAGGCAGGGCCAGGGGGCCCCAAGGGGCCCCCCAAAGTGGCTTCTGTGGACGGGGCAAAAGGGCCCCCCTTGCCAGCCAAAAAAGCAGACACAATCCAGAATAGGGGGGCCCCCAAGGGGGCCCCCAAGGGGGCTCCCCTGTCAACATCAGGGGCCTCTGCAGGGCCTGATAAACCCAGTATACCACTGGAAGGGGGGCCCCCAAAAGGAGCCCTCAAGGGGGCCCCCCCTACGGGACCAACTCAGGGGGCCCCTAAGCCCCCTTCCGATGGGACCCGTGAGGGGCCCCTCAAGGGGCCCCCCACGGGGGCCCCCAAGGGGCCCCCCACGGGGGCCCCCAAGGGGCCTCCCGCGGAGGCCCCCAAGGGGCCCTCTACAGGGGCCCCGAAGGGGCCCCCCACGGAGGCCCCCAAGGGGCCTCCCACAGGGGGCCCCAAGGGACCACCCACAGAGGGTCCCAAGGGGCCCCCCACGGGGGCCCCCAAAGGGGCCCCCACGGGGCCCCCCAAGGCCCCCGCAGTGGAGACAGGGGGGCCCCCAGGGGGGGCCCCCCCAGGCAAGGGGCCCCCAGCAGCCTCAGGGAAGGGCCCTACGCCGCCCCAAGGGCCCCCTTCGTCCCCTAATGGGGGGGCCCCCAAAGAGGCAGGTAAAGGGGGGCCCCCAAGGCCTGCTGAGGAGGCCCTTGCTGCGCCCCAAACCCTGGAGGGGCCCCCCAGAGACCCCATGAAGGGTTTAGCTGCTATTTTCCGTACCCTGAGGCCCAAGGGGCTCTCCCACCAAGGGGCCAGCCAGCCTGCAGCAGCAGCAGAGGGGGGCCCCCCAGGGGCCCCCCGCTCGGGGGGCCCCCCTATGACTGTCTTTGGGGCCCTTGCGGTGCTGCTGGGCCGGCGGGCCCGCAAGCGGCGCCAGCACTCTGGGGCGGAGGGCCCCCCCGGGGGGGCCCCCCACGGGGGGCCCCCCGGGGGGGCCCCCGGGGGCGCCCAGGGGGCCCCCGAGCCCCAAGAAGATGTCTATAGGGCCCTCGACAGTCCCCAGTGGGAGGCCCTAACCCGGGGCTGGAGCCGAGAGGAGTGGGGGGCATTTGTGTTGGGCGAAGCAGACCCTGAAGAGGCCCTCGAGGAGGCCCCTGCGAAAAGGGGCCCCCCGGGGGGCCCCACGGGGGCCCCCGGAAAGTCCCCCAGGGGGGCCCCCACAGGGAGCCCCAGGGGGGCCCCCACAGGGACCCCCAGGGGGGCCCCCACAGGGACCCCCAGGGGGGCCCCCAAGGGGGGCCCCCCGGCGTCACCGCGGGGGCCCCCCAGGGGGCCCCGCATGCCGGGCTTTCGGAGAGTGCAGGAAAGGGTACTGCCTGTGACAGTCTTCTACTGCGACTCTAGAGAGGGCCCCCTAACAGTTTATGATGAAGTTAGTGACTCCGAAACTCTTTTAAAAGAGGCCCAAGAGGGCCTCCTGGGCATTCACGTGCGGCGAAAGCGGTACAGAAGGGGCAGCAGGGCGCGGCGGGGGGCCCCCCGGGGGGCCCCTTCCCCCGAGGGGCCCCCCTGGGGGGCCCCCGGGGGGCCCCCCGGGGGGGCCCCCGGGGGGGGCCCCTGGGGGGCCCCCAAGAGGGCCCCACAACGCCGGCGGCTGGCCCTTATGAAGGACAGAATTAACTACCTTAGAGCTGCGCAGCTGGAGCAGCAGCAAAGGGCACTGGAGGCCCTGGCCCGGGGGGGGGCCCCCGGGGGCCCCCTGAGGATCCCGGGGGCCCTCCTGGGGGCCCCCGGGGCCCCCTTTACTTTTTTGTTTAGCGACAGTAAGGCGTTTGACGCCTAAGGAGCAGCAGCGGGGGGCCCCCATAGAGAAACAATTATTTAATTAATTTATTTAATTAAATAAATTAATTAAATAAAATAAATAAAATAATTAATAAATTAAATAAATAAATAAATAAACTGATTGGCCGGACTGGCAGCGGCTGAGGCAGTTCCTTCGTTTCGGCGAGTTTTAATTAAATATAAATTAAATATAAAATAAATTTAGAATAAATGCAAATAAATTTAATCAAATATAAAATAAATATAAAATAAATATAATTAAATATATTTGAAAGTAAAAATAAAAGTAAAATAGAGTTGAATGTGAAAGTGGAAAGAGGCAAATACAGCTTGGCCCTAGCTTGAACTGAGGGTTTAGGGTTTAGGGTTTAGGGTTTAGGGTTTTGGGTCCTCAAGACTCCGCAGCCCTTCCCAGAAGAACTCCCTGCAGTGAGTGCAATTGGGCTGTTGCTGCAGCTGCTGTCGCTGCAGCGGCTGCTGCTGCAGCAGCAGCTGTTGCAGCAGCTGCTGCTGCTGCAGCAGCTGTTGCTGCTGCAGCGGCTGTTGCTGCTGCAGCTGCTAGCGCTACCGTGAAGACAAGACACTGGCCGATCAAGACATGAGGGGCAGCCTGCTGCTAGCAGCAGCAGCAGCTGCTGCTGCTGCTGCTGCTGCAACAGCTCCTACTGCTGCTGCAGCAAGTGCTGCCGCTACTACTGCTACTGCTACTGTAATAATCGCTGCTGCTGGTACGAAAGTGCTGCTGCTTCTGGGGGAGCTGCTGCTGCTGCTGCTGCAAAAGCTGCTGCTGCTGCTGCTGCTGCTGCAGCCCTGAGCACTCTCAGAAGCAGCAGGTGGGTGTTGAATAGGAGATTAATAAAAGCGGCAACCAGCAGCAGCAACAGCAGCAGCAGCAGCAGCAGCACCTGCTGCTGGCTTTTAACCTGCTTTGGCTGCCTGCTGCTGCTGCCGCGCCGTTTGCTCCTGCTGCTGAATAACCTGATTTTGCTGCTTGCTGCTGCTGCTGAATAACCTGATCTTGCTGCTTGCTGCTGCTGCTTGCTGCTGCTGCTTGCTGCTGCTGCTTGCTGCTGCTGCTTGCTGCTGCTGCTGCTTGCTGCTGCTGCTTGCTGCTGCTGCTTGCTGCTGCTGCTTGCTGCTGCTGCTTGCTGCTGCTGCTTGCTGCTTGCTGCTGCTTGCTGCTGCTGCTTGCTGCTTCTGCTTGCTGCTGCTGCTTGCTGCTGCTGCTTGCTGCTGCTGCTTGCTGCTGCTGCTTGCTGCTGCTCCTTGCTGCTGCTGCTTGCTGCTGCTGCTTGCCTTTTTTCCGTGCACGGCAGCAGCTGCTGATACCGCGCCGCCGCTAGCTACGACCTGCTGGCATTGCTGCTGCAGCTGCACCTGCTGCTGCAGTTGCTGCTGCTGCTGCTGCTGCTGCAGTTGCTGCTGCTGCTGCTGCAGCGCGTCCGTTGCCGCTGCTGGTGCTGCAGCGCGTGTTGCTGCTGCTGCACCCGCTGGTGCCGCTGCGCGCGCCGCCCACACGGCAGCAGCGCGTTCCGCCGCTGCCGCTGCCGCTGCCGCTGCCGCAGCAGCAGCAGCAGCAGCAGCAGCAGCAGGAGCTTCACTGTGGGGTCCAGGGGTGGGGGCGTGCTGCTGCGATGGAAGCAAAAAGGAAAACGTTTGCTGCAGTGCCAAGTGCGTGGAGAGCAGCGTGGGCCAAGGCGCTGGGCCAGTGCTGGTTTGCTGCAGCAAAAGCCCAGCTGAGCGCATGCAGCCCCAAAAGCGGCAGCAGCAGCGCGAAGTAAGCAGCAGCAGCAGCAGCAGGCGCGCGCAGCAGCGCAGCAGCGCAGCAGCAGCAAAGCACCCCGCGGGCCACCCACAGGTCCAGCCAGCGCCGCCAACACAGCCGCGGGCAGCTCCAGTGCAGCAGCGAAGACACAAACAGCAGCAAAGACAAATGGCCCAGCAGCAAACAGTCGCAGCAAAAAGCAATTATGGGATTTACGCAAAGACACAAAGAAGACAGCAGCAGCAAACGCTCGCACTGCAGCGGCAGGTACCGCCCGGACCCGTCCAGCAGCAGCAGGGGGGGCCCCCCTGCTTCTTCCCCCTGCTGCAGCGGCAGCAGCAAAGACACCCACCACCGCGCAGCAGCAGCGAGGCCCCTCTTCTGCGCCTCGGGGGGCCCCCCCGCGACCGGGGGGGCCCCGGAGGGGCCCCCACCGGGGGCCCCAGCGGGGGCCCCAGGGGGAGGGGGGCCCCCAGGGGGAAGGGGGCCCCCAGGGGGAGGGGGGCCCCCAGGGGGGGCCTCCGGGACCGCGGGGGGGCCCCAGCACCAGCAGGGGCCCTCAGGGGGGCCCCCGCGGGGCAGCGCCCGCTGCTCCTCCTGCAGCAAAGGGGGCGGGGGGCCCTCGGGGGCCCCCCCGCCCTCGGGGGGCCCCCGGGGGCCCCCAGGTGACCCGGGGGGGGGCCCGCACAGCGCGCCCCCGGGGGCGCTCAGGGGGGCCCCCATCGGCCACAAAACGCCAAAACTGAACCCTGAGGGGCCCCTAAGCCTCATAAACCCCGAAAAACTCGAAAACCCAGAAGGGGGGCCCCCACACTCAGCAGAACCCCCCGAAGAGGCGCACTCCAGGGGCCCCGGGGGGCCCCCGGGGGCCCCCGGGGGCCCCGGGGGGCCCCCAGGGACTTGGGGCCCCCGACTAGCTGCAGCAGACTTCGCAGGGTCCAGCTGGGGGGCCCCCTCGCGCAGCAGCGCAGTGTCGACTGCGCAGGGGGCCCCCGGGGGGCCCCCTGCAGCAAGCGGCGCCCCCCCAAACATGCTGCAGGGGCCCCCAAGGGTTTAAAAGAATTAAAATTAAATAAATAATAAATTACATTAAAGGACAATCTACTCGCCGAGGGAATGGGGAGAGAAAAGGGGGTGAAGGGGGGAGACCAATGGTGCGGCGGCAGGCAGCACGGTGGCGCTGCTGCTGCTGCTGCTGCTGCTGCTGCTGCTGCTGCTGGGGAGAAGTCAAAGCAACAAATAAACCCTCCTTAAACCAATTAAAACGATAAATAAAACAAACTAAAGCAGAAAAGCAGGAGAAGGCAGCAAATTCAGCAGCAGCACACAGACCCGAGCGCCGCTCGCGCTCATGGTGCTGCTGCAGCAGCAGCAGCAGTGCAGCGGCTGCAGCAGCAGCAGCTCAGCAGCAGCAGCAGCAGCAGCAGACTGCCTTGCAGGCTGCTGCAGCCTGCCAGCAAGCATAAATCAGTTCAATTTGATTTTATTTTCACTTTTTCATTTAATTAATTTAAAAGAATAATTAAAAACAAAACAAACAACAACCCCCCAAAGGGGCACTGCAGCAGCGGGGGCCCCCGGGGGGCCCCCGGGGGCCCCCGGGGCCTCAAAAGCAAAAAAATAAATTTGAATAATTAGGCCGAATTAAATATTAAAATTCTCCTAATTATTTGATGCTTCAATTTCTTTGCTACTTTTATACCTCAAACCCTAAACCCTAAACCCTAAACCCTAAACCCTAAACCCTGAACGCAAAACACTGAACCGTGAACCTAAACCCTACACCCTAAACCCTAAACAATGAACCCTAAACCCTAAACCCTAAACCCTAAACCCTAAACCCTAACCCGCACACTCGCAAACGTTCGCGGGTTTTTTGTCTTCCGCATTTGCACATGAAGAGAAACGCCCCGAAAATAACTAAACAAAATTAGACATAATAAATAAATAAATAAATAAATAAATAAATAAATAAATAAATAAATAAATAAACAGATAAATAAATAAATAAATAAAATTTGTGTCTTTGCATTTGGAATCGAAGGCCTTCATGTTATATTTTCTTTTCGTGTTGCCTGGGTGCTCCCGTTTCAAGGGTTTAGGTTTACGGCCTAGGCTTTCGGGTTCAGCGTTTAGGGTTTAGGGTTTAGGGTTTAGGGTTTAGGGTTTAGGGTTTAGGGTTTAGGGTTTAGGGTTTTTTAGGGTTTAGGGTTTAGGGTTTAGGGTTTAGGGTTTTAGGGTTTAGGGTTTAGGGTTTAGGGTTTAGGGTTTAGACCACTGCGAGAATAGTGACTGCGAAGGCCTCCAGGTGGCGCTTCACGAGGGGCAGTTTGGAAGACAGCGCAGCCAAACGTGGCGCGGTACTACGCGGACGCGAACGTAAACCGCCCGAGGCAGTATTGGGATTAGCGCTGTAACTCCAGCGTGTGGGGGTTTTGTCTTCATGCACTACTGGAAAGCGGAAGACGAATTGAAATTGAATTATATTTTTGAAATTATGTTTTTAAATTATATTTTTAAATTATATTTGTTTAAATTAAAAATCAAAATAAATATTTCAGCTTTTAATTTTAATCAGCTCAAGTCAATTTGCTGCTTTGGCCTGCGCGCTGTGGCCGGCTGAGGTGTCTGTACACCTCAGCGCCTACAGGCGCATTTTTAATAAAAATATTTTCTCCTTTTTTGGCAAATCTATTACAGATATAAATCCATTAAAAGGGGAATGTATATATTAATATATTTTATATTTATATATTTTAAATATATTTGTGCGTTTGTGCAGATCTTTTTAAACACACTTTGTGGAAATTGAGGTGTATGTACACAGCAGTGCCCTTGCATGCGCATGCATGTGGCCTTGCATGCGCATGCATGCGGCCTTGCATGCGCATGCATGCGCATGCATGCACATGCATGCGCAAAAAGGCCTCTCTATGGTGAGGAATAAAATGTATTATTATTGCATGCGCATGCATGCAGAGAAAGACATATTTAGGTAATTCTATTTCCCAGAAAAATACCAAAAATAGAGAAAAAAAAGGGAAAAAGAAAAGTTTTGAAGTTTTTCATGTAAAACGAAAAGACGCAAAGATGTGCATGGGCTGAAGTTCAAATCTCAGGTGTACGTACACTTGGTTGCTGCTGCACATATTGTATTTGTTCCATTATTTATTGCATTAAATTTATTAGAAGTCGGAAGTAAAAACGCAAAAATAGATATTTGGACCTTTTAAAGCTCTCTAAATGGACTTGTAAAGGCCCTTTGGATTTGCATGCGGCCAGGGCAACTCTTCTAAAAATAAAATTATGAACACACATTTGCATGCATGCATGCATGCATGCATGCTCCCGAATCGGCGGATATATATTTCTATGTTTTTGTGCACAAGCGCTAAAATGAATATCTTTTCCTTTCCCTTCCGCAGTTGCCTTTTTTAAATGAAATATAATTATTTAAAATGCATTTATTTGCAGCTTCAAATTTGTGTAGCTCTTGAGATCCAGGTGTACATACACCGGGCGCTTCCGTACACACACGCAGGTGTACATACAGGCATGTATAAGTAGACCAAGATATTCCCGTTTGCATGCACATTAATACATTTATTTTATTTATATTTGTTCATTTACATTTGCATTATATCATTTCATATTTGTTTTATTTTATTCGTGTTTTTGGCCTCTTTTGAATCTGTATACAGCTTAGAAGAAAGCCAACAAGAGCCCCCCAGCCCAAAAGGCGGGCCTGCCGGCCGCAGGCTGGAATTAAAAGGAATTAAAATTGAAATGGTTTAATTTTGAAAAATAATTTGAGGGAAAAAGAAACAAATTCAAAAAGAAGTGAAGAGCTGCTGCGGAAGGCGGTCTGGCTCAGTGGGCGGCAGGGGGGCGGCGCGCAGGGGTCACTTTCGCGTGAAAAGCGCTAAAATGCATTTATTTAGACAAATACATGAAATTAAATATTTATTTTTAATTCAATTAAATATTAAAAGAAGAAAGAAACGCAAAAGAGCGCCAAAAGGCGCTCCCGCGCGAGCACGCAGGCGACGGGGTGTCTGCGCAGACAGCCGAGCCGCGGGAGCCCGCGGGCTCTGGAGCCGGGATTTCTTTTTAAAAAAGAGAAAAAGAAGTTTGAAAATAAAAGTAAAAAGAGAAAGTATTTAATAATTGGAAAGAAATGGTTTAAAAGGCGAGACGGGGGCGGAGCCGGGCGCTAGCGCATGCAGCGGTTCGGGGTGTCTGTACAGCTGGCGAGTCGGCCCGGGGGCGTTTTGGGGCTTTCCGGGCGAATTCTTTCGGAAAAAACCGAAAAAAAGACTCAAAAAGGAGTTTTTTTGCAAGTTTTTGCAAGTTTTTGCGGCCCAGAGCGTCCCAATGGCCAGCGGGGCCCCCGACTCCTCCCTTCGGGACGCCTGGAGGGTCCTCGTGGTGCTGCAGCCCTCTGCAGCGACCCCGCCCTCCTTCGCGGCTCTCTTTTGCCTGGCCCTTTGCCGCCGCTTCTCCTCGCTGCCGCTCTCCAGTTTGCTGCTGCGCCCCGGGGACCCCTGCGCCGCGCCCTTCCTCAGCAGCAGCAGCAGCAGCAGCAGCAGCAGCAGCAGCAGCAGCAGCAGCAGCAGCAGCGGCGGGGGGCCCCCCAGCGGCCACTTGACCTTCTCCTTCGTCACCCCACAGTACCCCAACAGCCCCTGGGCGGATCTTCACTTCCACAAACAAGTCTTGGGGGCCCTCGCCCTCCACATCCCCTGGGGTGTACGTACACCCCAAACAGCTGCACATACACCCCAAGCAGCTGCACAGACACCCCAGCCAGGTGTACATACACCCCAAGTAGCTGCACAGACACCCCAGCCAGGTGTACAGACACCCCAGCGAGGTGTACAGACACCGCAGGGAGCTGCAGATACACCCCAAGGAGCTGCGGAGACACCTGAGGAGGAGGCGAGAAAAGTTGCTGCTGCTTTTTCGCGCGCCATTTCGCAGCAGTACCCCACAGTCCTCGTTAAAAGGGCCTTTTGCGTGCTGCCAGCAGCAGCAGCAGCAGCAGCAGCAGCAGCAGAGCCAGCAGCAGCAGCAGGGCCGGCGGAGCCTGCAGCAGCAGCAGACGCAGCAGCAGAGCCAGCAGCAGCAGCAGCAGCAGCAGCAGCAGCAGAGGGCGAGGAAGCAGTCTTTCTGTCCTCCGATTTATGGAGCCTGTTGGCTTCCTCAGCTGGGGGGCCCCCCGGGGGCCCCCCGGGGCCCCTGGGGGTGCCTCTGGGGGCCCCCGGGGGCCCCCGGGATGCCATTTTGGCGGAGATTGAAAAGGCCCTGGAGGGCCCCATGAGGGCCTTTGGGGCCCTTCTGCTGCAGCAGCTGGGGGCCCTCGTGCTGCAGCCAGTGGAGAAGTGGGGGCTGCTGCTGACTCCTTTGGACGGGGCCCCCTTGCCTCCAGCAGAGCCGGGCTCTGCAGCAGCAGCAGCAGCAGCAGCAGCAGCAGCAGCAGGCGGGGGGCCCCTGCCCCCAGGGGTGGGGCCCCTCGCGGGGGCCCCCAGCATCCCAGGGGTACCCTCTGGTGCTGCTGCTTTGCTGCGGCTGCTGCCTTCGCGGCTGCAGAAGCGAAAGGCCGATTTGCTGCTGCTGGGGGGGGCCCCCGCAGCAGCAGCACAGCTGTACCTTGCTGCAGCAGAAGCAGCAAGGGCCCACGGAGACACAATCTGGCAAGCAGCAGCAGTTGAGGGCCAAGCTGCTGCAGTTTATGCCCACCTGCAGCCGCTGCTGGGGGCCCCCCTGGGTTCGGGGGGCCCCCCGCAGCTGCTGGGGGCCCCTGGCGGCCTGCGGGGGGAGTCGGCGGAAGCAGCAGCAGCAGCTCCCGCTGCAGCAGCAGCAGCAGCCGCCGTCGCGCCTGCAGCAGCAGCAGCGGGAGCAGCAGCAGCAGCGGGGGCAGCAGCAGGAGACGGCGGCGAGAAGGAGGGCCCGCTGCAGCGCAGCAACTCCCTGCCTGCTGCTGCTGCTGCTGCTGCTGCTGCTGCTGCTGCTGCTGAGCAGGGGCCCCCAAACAAAGTGCTGCTGAACCCTTTTCCCCCCAGCATTGAGGCCATTCTGCAGCAGTACCAGCAGCGGCGCTCGGGGGGGCCCCCCTCGGGGGCCCCCCCTGGGGGCCCCCCGGGGGGCCCCCCCAGCGGGGAAGCAGCAGCGGGCAGGGGTTTGCCGCTGCTGCAGCCGCTGGGGGCCGGGGGGGGCCCCTTTGGGGGCCCCTTTGGGGGCCCCTTTGGGGGGCCCCTGCGAGGCCACGGCAGCGAGAAGGAGACAGAGAGAAGGGCCCTGGCTGAGCAAGTAGAGGTGCGTTTGTTTCTGTGCTGCTGCTGCCTCCTCGTGCTGCTGCTGCTGCAGCAGCAGCAGCAGCAGCAGCAGCAGCAGCGGAAGGCACCGAGCAGCCGCCGCGATTAGCAGGAGCCCCGCAGGGCCTCCGGCGTTGCAAACAGGGAAAGCGTGCGGCAAAAGAAAACCTGCTGCTGCTGCTGCTGCTGCTGCTGCTGCGCTGCTGCTGCTGCTGCTGCTGCTGCTGCTGCTGCGCTGCTGCTGCTGCTGCTGCTGCTGCTGCGCAGGCCGCGCTGAGCTGCGTGCAGCGGAAGCTGCGGGAGGCAGCGCACAGCTACCAGGGCCACCCCGGGGCCTTCAGCTTGCATGCGTTTTGTCTTTGTCTTTTGTCGCGTTTGCTGTTCGAAGCTGGCTGGCAGCTGGAGGCGCTGCAGTGTGCTGCAGCAGCAGCAGAAAAGGCCAAAAGGCTGCCGCTGCTGGCCTTCGTGGGGCTGCTGGGGGCCCTGGGGGCCCTTTGCTGCTGCCAGGGGGCCCCCCGCAAAGGCAGCTTTTTGCTGCACAGGGTTTGCTTGGCTTTGATGGAGGCCCGCTGCTTCCGGGGGGCCCACCATGCTGCTGCTCTTGCTGCTGCTGCTTACCACTTGGGGGCTTTGCGGCTGGCCCCTGCGGACTTGCTGCACCCCGCGGCCCGCCCGCAGCAGCAGCAGCAGCAGCAGCAGCAGCAGCAGCAGCACAGACGCGCCGCCCGGGACCTCCCGGGCTTCGCCCGGGCCCACACCCCCGCCGGCTTCGGGGGGGCCCCCGGGGGCCCCCCGCTCGCCAGCGAGACCCCCTACTGCCCCCTGTACTTCCGAAAATCCCTGCTGCAGCACTGCAGCAGCAGCAGCAGCAGCAGCAGCAGCAAGGCGGGGGGCCCCTTCGCCACGGCCCTCTGGCAGCTCGTCTGCGACCTCCAGGCGCAGGGGGCCCCCGGAGACCCCCTGGGCAGCTGCGGGGCAGTACCCTGGGGGCCCCAGTTCTGGGGCCTCAGCAGCAGCAGCAGCAGCAGCAGCAGCAGCAGCAGCGGGCTGAGCGCGTTCCTGCAGCAGCAGCAGCAGCGGCTGCAGTTCTACAGCAACAGCTGCCGCGTGGCCTGGCCCGCGCTGCAGTCCCGAGTGCTGCATGTCTTGAAGGCCTCAGCAGAGCAGCAAGGAGACAGCAGCAGCTTGGCTTGGTATTCTTTTGCTGCTTTGCTGCTGCTGCACCCCGTCATGGACCCCAAGGCCCAGGCCGCAGCAGTCATGGTTCTCCAGGTCCGCCGAGGGTTTAGGGTTTAGGGTTTAGGGTTTGGGGTTTGGGGTTCAGGGTTTGGGGTTTAGGGTTTAGGGTTTGGTTTTTAGGGTTTAGGGTTTGGGGTTTAGGGTTTAGGGTTTGGTTTTTAGGCTTTAGGGTTTGGGGTTTAGGGTTTAGGGTTTGGGGCTTTGGGCGTAGGGTTTAGGGTTTAGCGGAGGCCCTCCGTGTGAAGCTCTCTCTGCACAATGCACGAAGCATTCCTAAACCCCCAACCCAAACCCTAAACCCTAAACCCTAAACCCTAAACCCTCGACTCTGCCTGCAGGCCGCGGCGGGGCGGCGGGCGAGTCCGCTCGTGCTGCCCCCAGTGTTGGGCATTATAACCCCCCGCAGCACTGGGGGGCCCCCCGAGCGTCGGGGGGCCCCCCCGGGGCCCTTTGGGGGGGGCCCCCCGGGGGGCCCCCGAACAGGGTCCAAGGGCCCCGGGGCCAGCAGGGGGGCCCCCAGGGGCCCCGACGAAAGGGTTTCTTACTTGGGGGGCCTCTGCGGGGGTTCAGTGGGCCCCTTGCCGCTGCTAACAAAACTGTCCCCTGTTGTTGACAGGGGCCCCCCATCTTCCTGGGTCTCCGAGCCCCTCACCATTATACGCAAGAGGGCCCCCCCGCCTCCGGGGGCCCCCCCGGGGCCCCCCCCGGGGGCCCCCCCTGGGGCCCCCC